TCAGGCTTGCAAAATCCAGGGAAAATAGGAAAACGGATCTCGGTAGCATTAGGTTTATTATTAACAACAATGATGTTATTTTAATGAAAGACCTATTAAGAGGGTTTGGGATAGTTACTTTTTTGGCTTATTTAATGACGGTGCCTCGCCCTGTAGAGATATGGTCGTTGATGGGTCAGCCAACCATCATACTACGTCCAATAACTGCCCTACAAGTAGGATTGAGTTTGAGGAAGTCAAAATGGTTCTTAGAAAGATAGGGAGGGACAAAACTGTCGGCCTAGATCAAATTCCTATCACTGTGTGGTTGGCCCTAGGAGAAGAGGGAGTTAAGTGGTTGACCAATATCTTTAATATTATTTTAGAGACTGCCAAGATGCCAGAGGAGTGGAGAGTCTACGGTGATACCAATCTTTAAGAATAAAGGAGATCCCCAGCGTTGTGGCAACTACAGAGGTATTAAACTACTGAGCCATACCATGAAGCTATGGGAAAGGGTGATAGAGGCTAGGTTGAGACATGTTACTAGGGTTTCGGAAAACCAATTTGGTTTTATGCCAGACAGGTCGACTACGGAGGTGATTCATCTACTTCGATGACTTATGGAGAAATATAGGGAAAAAATAGAGATCTTCACATGACGTTCATTGACCTTGAGAAGGCGTATGATAACGTCCCACGCGATACAATCTGGAAGACCTTGGAAACGAGACGAATCCCAACTGCTTATATCCGGGCGATTCGTGATATGTACTGTAGATCTACTACTTACGTCAGGACTACAGTTGGTGACACCGAGGCATTTCCTGTGGAAATCGGACTCCACTAGGGGTCGACTCTTAGCCCTTACATCTTCGCCTTGATTATGGACGATATTTTTTTTACGACACCAGACTGTGTCCCATGGTGTATGCTTTTCGCAGACGACATTGTCCTAGTTGCTGAAACAAAAACTGAGCTGAATAGTAGACTGGCTACCTGGAAGACTGCTTTGGAAGAAAAATGTCTAAGGATCAATATTGAAAAGACAGAGTATTTATGTTCAAACTTCAGTGGGAACCAAAACGATGAAAATGTAGAAGTATGCATAGAAGGACACGTTCTCCCCCTCAAAGGATTGTTTCAAGTACCTAGGGTCTATGATACATAAAGATGAGGGTGTAGATGATGACATTACACACCGTATAAAGGCGGGATGGATAAAGTGGAGGGCTGCTACTGAAGTTTTGTGTGACAAGAAGGTGCCTCAAAAACTTAAAGGAAAATTTTATAGAATGACAATAAGACCAGCACTGCTGTATGGATCAGAATGTTGGGCAATCAAGAAGGATCACATAAGGAGGATGGAGGCCGCATAAATGAGAATGCTTCGATGGGCATGTAGTAGGACGCTATGGGACATGACACCAAACTCTGATATTAGGATGTCCTTGGGGGTGGTACCAGTATCCGAAAAGTTGAGGGAGGGAAGACTACGGTGGTTTGGTCATGTCCTTAGGCGAAAACCGTCGGATGCGGTCAGGAGGGTAGAGTCGATTACAGTTGACGGTGCCAGAAAGAGAGGACGACCAAGGCGGAAGTGGGAAGACTGCTTGAGATCTAATTTAAAGGATTTAACCTTTACCGAGGACATGACCTCTGATAGGAAAGTATGGAGACTTAAGACCAGGGTACTGAGTAGTGCGGGTCACTGCCATAGGGTGTAACAATCTCTGTCCTCTTTTTAATGCCTTTGTAGTAATTTTCATGACTTCTACTTTATATACGTTTCTGTCATTGAATTTTATGAAGGCTTAGAACTAGGGTAGCGGAGTAGTGTTGCCTTAGTTTTAGGTGTTAACCCATTTGACTTTATTTCTTCTTGTAACTTGCTATTTTGACTACTGTGTATCTTCTTATTCAGGTTTCCTCTTTTTAATTTTAGCTGGATCTTACGTTTTCTGTATATATGCATAGATTTTTTTTACGCAGGGATTTATTTATAGGGATTACCCCCATTACAGACGAGCATATGAAGACTGTTTCAACTATGTATTTATTTATTTATACATGCATTGCATTTTATCTTTATTACTGTCGGAGATCTTTCACGAAAGTTGCTCTCAACCTGGCGTTGGGGGCAACCTATTATCCTACCTCCCCCTTATCCCATTGCATATGGGAATAAGGTTTTGTTGTTGTAGTAATCTTCATGACTTCTACTTTTTATACGTTTCTGTCATTTGAATTTATGAAGACTTAGAACTAGGGTAGCGGAGTAGTATTGCCTTAGTTTAGGTTTTAACCAATTTGACTTTATTCATTCTCTTAGCTTGTTATCGTTTATTTCTATGTATCATTCTCTTCATGTTTCCTCTTTTTAAATTTAGTTGGGTCTTACGTTTCTGTCTATATGCAAAGATTTTTTAACGCATAAATTTATTTGCATGGATTACTTCCCATTACATACACGCATATGAAAAATGCATATGAAGACTATTCAAAAATGTATTTAATTATACATGCATTGCATTTTATCTCTATTTTTTATTTTCTGACTGCCGAAAGTATTCCACGAAAGTTGCTCTCAAATTGGCGTTGGGGGCAGCCTACTACTGTACCTCCCCTTACCCCATTACATATGGAAATATGGTTTTGTTGTTATTGTATGGAGACTCAGATCGAAGACTCGCACGATCGTTGGTGATACGATGTGTGGAACCGAAATCAGGATACCATAACATCTCTTTGCCTGAACTGGAACTCATGACTGAAGAAGGATCAAATATTAGCATACGATTCGAAGCAAAAGAAGTCTGAGGATTCACAAACCCAGAGAAAGACAAAGAAACACCAGACCCTAAAGAGGCATTATATTACGAATAATAAAGCGATGGCGGAATTGGAGCATTAAATCCCACCGACCCATTACCCAATGAAGCATAAACGGACTGTCCAAAAGGAGAAAAATGAAATGACATATTGGAAACTAGAGCGACCATATTTGGGGAAAACAAAGCAACCGATCGAGGGGAAAATATAACGAAGCAATCTGATTTGGGAAATAAGAAACCCCAGATGGATACGACACAAAAGGGCCAACAACACTATGAAGAATGGGCTAAGAGAACCTAATAGATGCATCGGGCCCACTACATGAACCAAAGCCTGAGGAAAAGACACACGCTCATGTGCCACCGAGGACAAGGACTAAGAATCATTCCAAGTGATAGAACGAGAATCAGAAACATCTCTCTAAAAAGAATGATCAAAATGGTAGTAACAACGTTGAACCAAGTGTCCAAACTTGCCACAAAGCTGACATTGAGGACGATTGTTGAATCTGCCACGACCTCTACCTCAAAAAAAGCTGTTATCCCATCGAGAACTCCGAGTGCTATTAGAGGAATTCACAAGCGCAGAGACATTCTACGACGAAGAAAAACCAAGACCATCCTTCGAGGATTCTTCATAAGATACCATTTTAGCCTGAACAAGAAAATCATTCACAAAGAACTCCTTGTGTCGTGCCTCATAGTCGAGAAACATCTTTGTCAAGCACGAAAGAGACACAACCTTCTTAGAGGCGATGGAAATCACAGATTCAAACTCAATAGGAAGCCTAGTGAGAATCACACTAATTTGTTCTTGCTCAGAAAACACAGTACTCGCAGCAATCAAAGTGTCATATATCATTTTCACCTTGGCCAGGTATTCGTTGATAGATAGTTCACGCTTCCTCTGAGAATGAAGAGAATGATGAAGAGCCGAGACTTTGGAAGACAAATGAGCACCAAACAGTCGAGAAATTACCTTCCAGATCTCGAAGGATGTCGTCAGACCAATCAAATGAGGCAATACTTCTGAAGAAACCATGGACAACAGCCACGAGGCCAACGTCTTACTGCCGATGAAGATGAAATGATGGATTCTCAAGCAACTGACCATCATCAGATGAAATAAACTAATCTGGGACTCGATCATCACCAGAAATAAACTGCAACAATCCATAGCCATCAACCGCAAGTAAGATATGATGTTTTCATAAAAGGAAATTTCCCTCTGAAAGTTTTGGAGTATCAAGCTTGGGTAACTGTTGAACTGTTACCGACAACGACCCTGAACCACCAAAAACATTGGAAACATCACCATTCACTGGAGAGGCACCCACGGAGGATCAACGGCCATGAGAAACGCGGTGAAATAGAAAAATACATTAAGCGAAAACGAGAAAAGGTCAAAGAAAACAAGAGAATGATACCATGTTATAATAGTGAAAGAGACGATACTCTCAGTACTTTATTGATAAAGCCTGAAAAATCTCAACAGTGGTCCAGGGGTTTTATACAATAGGAGATGGAAGTTGAAGGCTAGAAGAGGAAGGCTAACAAACTCCTAACAATCTCAAGTAAGCCAACAGACTCTCTAACAAACACTGGTGCAGTACAACAGACTCTACCTGCACTCAGTAGATAGCTATCCTCTCACAAAAGCTAAAGATTTAAATTATACAAAAATATTATAAAAAAACAATACATTATCGATTGTTAACGGTATTTACAATTTAAATAATTCACATAAAACACAGAGAAAAGTTAAAAGTGAATAAATTTTATGGATATTTCCATTTAATTTTTAAGTTATAATTATTTATATTTAAAATCTAATTCATTTTTATAATAAACAATAAATTAATTTATCATACTATAATTTGATAATAATACATAAAAGTAGTAAAACCAAAAATTTGTCGTACTAATTTGTACTCCATTAGTATTAACTTTTTTTATGAGAATATGTATAATAATTGGTTATCACATGAAAGAAGGAAAACTATTTGTTCGAATTAATAAAAAAATAACCTCACAAATAAAAATATACATTTTAAAAATTAAATATAGTAAAATTCGACTAAATTCATCCAAAAACACTTAACACAAGAAGTAAAATAATTTGAAAAAAAATGAAATAACAAAATTATATCATTTAATATTAGTGCCAATTGCCTACAGCTTCATTAATGTCACACTAATTTGTTGTTTTTCCAATTTCATCATCTTCGTTGCCATCATCTCATAACCAACAAAGCACGTTATCAGAATCATCCCATAGTAATTCCCATTGTTCATCATCTTCTTCACACCATCGTAAACCATCATTCGAATCGAACCCCGAATTCCCCGTCGACAAAGAGGAGTTACAAATCCGCCGTTCATTGGTGATCTCCGTATTATTGGACGTCGACGAGCTCCGAACGCCATCGTTTTCAGCATCTTTCAGAACCCCACCGTTCCCACTTGGATCCAGTATGCCTCGATCACTTCGCTCTAGAATGCAGCTGAGGCGCTTTATTTCGTTGTCGAGCCACTCGTATGGTCCCATGGCTTCCTTTTCGTTCCCACCACCACCACCTGTGATTTCTTCGCCATTATTGCCTTCGGGCCGCCTTGCATTGTTGTGCATGCAGAAACCATGCATTTCTGGGGTTTCTTCTCCCTGTCTGTTAATACTTTTAGGAATGCTGTTGCCGAGTGACATCAAGGCTAGCTTTTGTCTTTTCATGGCGGATCGGCTGGTACGGCCGGGTTTTCGCTTCCGATGAGCGGCGGCTGTGATGGTTACAGCAGGGAGATCGGTGGGTTTGGTTTCGGTTATGGTCTTGCTGAAACTGTAAATTTTTCTGCTTAAATGAGAGTTCCAGTAATTCTTAATCTCGTTGTCAGTTCGGCCTGGTAATTGTGCTGCAATTAAAGACCACCTAATGCAGACCAAACACTGTTAAAACATTATCATGAAACAACCAGCTTATGTTTTTTTTACGCCCACTCAAGGAACTAATGAATGTCGTGGAACCCAGAAATTTCATAAAATTTGGGTACAGATATTTTTTTTTATATATTTCAATATAAAAATACTATGAAAAAAATCAAAGAAAATACCAAGAGCACCAACCTAATAAAAACTATCTTTTGCGGATAAAAACCTAAGAGCATTTGGAGGGATAGGGTTGCTCTCATAAAATAATATTAAAATGTCTAAAATTTTCTAATTAAACTCTAAATACATCCTCAAAATTTACCAATAAAAACTTTAAAGGCATACACATTGATACATATATGTTTGGGGATAAGGACGGGATTAGAATAAAATATTAGGAGAGATTAAATTATTTTATATTAAAAACACACTAATTTATTAGATATTGAAATTTAAAAATTAAAGCGATTAATATTTAATTTAATTTAAATTTAAATTAAAAATGACTTAAAATGTCACTATATAAAAATATGATTAGGCTACCACTTGTCGGTGTTTAGTGGTATAGATAAAATTAAAATAAATTAGGGGTGAAAAAATAAAAATATTAATTTTAAAGGGCTAAAATAAAAAAATTGCTTTTTAGAGAAGGTAATTTTTTTTCATTCAATCAAAAGACTAAAAAGACTTAAAGTGGATTAAAAATAAAATTAATCCTTTAAACCATGGGAGCAATAGTATATTATAATGTGAATCTAGTAGAAAGAAATTAAAAAAAGTAAAAATGAGAAGGAAAATGAACCTATTCCCCAAAGCAGAATGTAACTTAACAATGGTTTCTTCCTCATGGGGAGCGATGTTCCCTCTCTTCAAATCAGCCCTCAAATAATTTATCCATCTCAACCTGCAACTCTTGCCACACCTCAACAGACCTTCCAAAATCCGAATCCCAAACAAATATATCAATCGAACTAAATTATGGAACAAAAACTGGTAATTTTGATCATGAGTATATATAACCAAATGTACCTGCACGTTTGGGTAATGATCTCCAGGATCCTTCGCCATTAGCTTTAATGTAATTGCTTAATATTTCATCTTCATCGGCCGTCCATCTGCCCTTCTTCAACCCCACTTTTTCGCAACAAGGAGATCTCCCCATCTGATTCTCTCTTTCTGCTGCTCAGCTCCTACAAGGTTTATTATATATATTGCCAAAATACCAACGGTTTCAATGCGGAGACACAGTTTTAAATAAAGGGATCCAAAGAGAAAGGCGTTGATGGAGACCCTTGAACAGCTTATGCCAAAAACTAGGGTAAGTAAAACTCCATTCCACTTAAAGAATTTGATTTTATTTATTTGACTCCAAAAATATTGGCTTGGATTAATTTCACTCAGTTAGAATTTTATTTTTAATTTGAATCGAAATATAAAATAGAACTTAAAAATAATTTAATTTTTTTTAGTAACGAGGGAATCAATTTTGAAGTTTAAGTTAAGTCTCTCAATTTTGTATAATAGTATATCACACCGACTCAAAGGTGTTAACACATGCCACCCTAAAATCCGAATTTTATTCAAATATTTATCCATTATAATGATGATGACCACCCTAAAAGTTCATTAGTGCTCATCCTATTTAAAAATTTTGTGCTTTTTTTATTTACAAGGAGGGATGACAATTAGCCTAGCCAATCACCCTAGATTCGACTAGACTTAAATTGAAAAAAATTTATAGAAATTCGAACAATCAAATAATACTAAGATATTATAAATATTTATAATTACGTTTAAACAAAAACTCGAATAATTCAGTTCGGTTAGATTCAAATTAAGAAAATTTCAAATAAATTTCAAATTAAAAACTATGAATCATCAACTCTAATAGCTTAATTTTTTTATCATACTCGACTCGAGCTCTGACCCTTAGTAGAAAGTAAAGAAGAGAAAGGGAAAAGGGAATGCAGTTGACGTCTGATGAGGATTGAATGGTGCAGGGAGTTCCACGAATCCATTTCCTTTCTAATTTCAGGTGAAAAAAACTACTTAAAAACCCGAGGTTTCAAGCTGATGAAATCACCCAAAAATAGGGGACAAAAGAAACCTTAATTAAGCAGTTGGTGAGGGATGAGTAAAAGAGCAGCAAATTGCGGAATCTGGTAGAAAAAATGACGTCCGACTATTGTTTCGCTTCAATTTTTTCAAACATAGGAACGCTGCCACTCGGTGGCTGTCTCATCGTTAATTAAGCTAAAATGTACGGTGTCCGGAGATATGGGGTTGTCGGCGTTTTACGTCTTCCATCGGCTTAAATATTGGAGGAGATGATTAGGCCGTATTAAAATGAATATAGTTATATAAGTTAAACCGTGCTACCATCCCCACTGATCTAGTCATCCGCTTTGCAAATTAAAAAAAATGTTGGATAAATTTACAGAGATAATGCAATAGCAAAATGAATTTGTTACCATGATAATTGAGCCAAGACACTTAATAATCTTAGACATTCAAATGTCATTAGAAACTCAATCAATCATTTTAAATATTTGCAACATATCCAATAAACCCTAGTTTAACATGAAACCCTAAACCCTAAGATATACTTAAATTTCATGATAAATTCACTAAATCATTTTTAAGCATGTGAAGTGACTTCAAATTAGGCGTTTCATTTATGATAAATGAAACTTGATTAAACTACAAATTAAACAAATCAATGAAGATTTCAAGGTGATTATGCTTGGAATTGAATTTGATGCATCATAATAAACATAGTCTTCAACAACAACAACAAAAAATTATTATGATGCATCATTGTTGTGAAGAACTCAAATACAGTTCTGAATCATATGAAAAATAAAAAACAAAACGTTGGTATACCACATAAGTGACAATGATCCTACCAAATAATTAAATAATGGTCTAAACATATGATTATAGGGAACAACACAAATATTCTAACCAGTCATGGTCCACCTTAAAATAATCTAACCATATTAAGATAATATAATATGACTTGACATGGTCCACCATTAATTATAGTTTTCCATTACACCCATGACAGGCATTCGTAGTACATATTTATAAATTTCTCTTGATTAGGCCTGTAAATGAACTCAACGTTCAGCGAACTGTTCATGAACCGTGCGGCAGGAAGTTCGTTTATTTATTAAATGAACGAACATGAACAAGATTTTACGTTCGTTTAATTAAATGAACGAACATGAACAAATGGCTCGTTCGTTCATTTACGTTCGTGAACATTTGATTATATGTTCGAACAGAGGGCAAATTGAATATGTTACGAAGATTATTGAAGTTGTTTGGATTTCAAGAAGATTGTTTTGTTGAACAAATTAACTTTAAGACTTTATTATGTTCAAATAGCTTATTTATGATTTATGTATGTTTTTGTCGTATTCGAACAAATTAATTCTAAAGTTGCAGGTTATATTAATGAATTTTAAGTTGTTATTCATGTTGTTTACTTTTTTTACATTCGTTTGTTGAGTTCGAATAAGTTTTTTTTTGTGTTTGTGTTGTTCGTTTATGTTCGTTCGTTCGTGTTCGTTTATGAACGTTTATTATTTAAATGAACGAACATGAACAAACTATATTCCTTAATGAACGAACATGAACAAATTTTTTTTCGTTTATGTTCGTTTATTTATTAAATGAACGAACATGAACTTACCTATGTTTGTGTGCGTTCGGTTCATTTACAGTCTTGATGGTTAAAAGATTATTGTTATTTCTTGATATTTTAATTTTGAGCATCATAATGCAGCAGGGTCGACCCTGAGCGAGGGCAAGAGAGGCACCCATCTAGAGCCCACAAATTAAAAAATAATATTATTTTCTTTTATAATAAATTTTAAAAAATGTAAAATAAAATAATAGGACCCGTGAATTTATTAAGGTGTCAATTGTAATTATTGAATTTTTATATTAACGTTAATAAACTGTTTCACTTCCCATAAAACTCTAATTTAATATTTTTCCTAGAATATACAAAAAATTCAATTGAATGTCTTTGATTTTAGTCTTTTCAAATTCTCACAATCAATTCACTAATTTTTTCCCGAATGAACAAAATTTTATTAACTTTATTTTTTCTATCTTCAAAACTCAATGGGAGGAGAAAATTTAAGTATAATTAGATTGCTTCTTTTCTCTTCCATATTTCACAATTCCTCTGAAAATTATTATTGTCACTTTTTAATTTCTTATATTTCTCACAAACACAGTCATAATTGTTTATCATCAATTGTGGTGCTTGAATCATATTAAAGATTGTTCTTAAAATTCTAGGTAAGATCATGTTTCCAAATTCTTTCTTTTGATTTTTATATATTTCCAAATTCTAGATAAGATTGTTCTTTTATTTCCAAATGATATGTTATGTTGAGAAAAATACGTTGAAAATCATTGATATTGACACTATCATCAATGATTTTACATCAAGAAATGATAGAAGCAATGCTTTTTTTTTTTATAAGTATTTGTTTGCTTAAATATATTTTTGACATTTTTGATATTATATCGAAAAATTGTTTAATTTGATAAAAATATTTAATAGAAATTATATATTACATATTTCTTAAATTTTATTTAAATTAGGGATCCATCTTTTTTATTTCACCCCGAACCAAAAAATACTCAAGACCGACCTTGATACGTAAAAGTGTATAAACGTTTATTATTGAATAATTTAGAATTTTTAAACAAATACCATTGTATTCCCAGAATTAATATAAAAAATAAACGTATCTCGGTCACATTTTACAAACATGTCTAAAAGGATTTTTTAAATTTTATAGTTAAAAATAGTAATTAGATTTTTGTTAGGTATTTATGTAAATCATACATATTATGTTCCATCTGTAGACACTCATTTTCACCCGAATTTGAGTTTTTTATTTTTATTTATTATAGGCATATATACGATAATATAGTATAATTTTTGAAAGTGTTTTTGAAAAATATAACATATAGTTTACAAAAAATGGTTTCTGAAAATATATATATAATATAGTTTTTTTAAAAAACGTTTCTAAAAACTTATATACAATATATAAGTTTTAAAAACATTTTGAAAATTATATAACATATATTTTTGAAATCATTTTGAAAATATAATGTATAGTTTAAAATAAAAACATTTTTGAAAATTTTATATAATATATAGTTTTAAAAATATTTTGGAAAACTCATATAATATTTTTAAAATCATTTTTGAAAACTATATGGTATATAGTTTTGAAAACATTTTTAAATATATATAGTTTAAAAAATATTTTTTGGGATATATATTATATAGTCTATATTATTAGTATTATTTCTTTTCATTTTATTCACTTTATTCATTTAATTTCATTTATTCTGTTTATGGTCCAGGTCCAAAGATTGGGTCTATGAGAAGTCCACTGTTCGGGTCCAATATGTTTGGGGCCTGAACCAGCCCAAACCCTACAAGTTAGGGTTTACTCGGTCAAGCATTGCGCCGCACGAGGGAGGAACAAGTCACGCACAGCCAGGCGAGAAAACTGGCCAAAATCCGGTCACGAAGCAACCAGCCCCGGCTAAATCGGGACTGACCCATCCCGTTTTAGCCGGTCAACCCACAACGGCCATCAGCCCCGTATTTCGGAACAGGAAAACGGCCGATGAAGGCCTATAAATACCAAATGGATAGAACCCACGACGGGGGGGAGGTCCAAAATACATCATCAACAGCACACACAGAACCCATCAGGGATCGAACCAGTACCAAACCACAAGCAAACCAAAATCAAGTCCCACAAAAAACCGAGGATCAAGACCCACGACGAACACAGTAAACATCAACCATCACACTACGAACCGAGAACCCACAACTACAGAGAGATATCAACAGTACCCAACATCGGACAGAAAACAAAGCAAATATCAAATATATAAACTCAAAGGCCGAAGCCCTAGCAGAAAATCTAAGCAAGTAAAAGAACTGAGGCAAAGCAAAGCAAAGCAAATCGAAGAACCACCAGGAAGGCGACGATTTCTCGCCCCAAAGGGTAAGGATCGAGGCCTTCAAGGCTAGATCTACTCCGATCTAGCGTCGTTTTCACTGTTTCGAGGCCAGATTCTACATCGGGGGGTCGAGAGGAGGCTATCAGTTGTGTTTGGGTTAGTTCCGGTCACCGGCGCCTCCGT